TTCGAGCATATCAAATTTGATACCATATAAGTTCATATCGATCATCGTTTCATATCAAGTTTTTTTGTGTGTACTTAATATGAAATGCATTATTTTTAAATATTATTTTAAAACCTATTCCTATAAAAGGAAATACCAAAGATATTTGTTCTCGATAATTGCCCCATTTCAATTTTGTGGCTGTGTGATATTGCTGCGGGATCTCTCGTCTGGAGCCTGTCTGTCATCGTTGGCTATCCATTCTGGCCAGCTATCCATCCGTCTGCTCGTCTGCTTCCGGCTCAAATGCTCCAGGCCACGCCCAGGCTCACAGCTCGGACATAAATCATGTTGTTGACCAACAACGGCAGCAGCGGCCCACTGTCATCGGCATTCAGCATTTGGCCACGTTAAGAAAACCGAGAAAAAGCAACTACAACTGAAGCTGCAACAACAAATACAACAGATGCGTGCCAAAAACGTTTTGTGCCACAAAATGCTGGCCATACGCTTTTTGGTTAGACACATTCGTCGCGCACTGCCACATTATTTTTTGTTGTTGTATTTTTTGTCCATTTTTTTTATAGTTTATTTTCAACTATTTCAAGTCAATCCAGTTGCTGACAGTCGAACACAAAAACTTAATTAAGCGACAGAGAGTGGGGCAAACAAAAAAAAAAAGAAACAAAATAAAAAAAAGAGGGAATCATCGATCTGTATTTGCTTGGCCCAGTTTGCCACTCGGATTCTAATTCCAATTTTCGATTCGATTTGATTCTGAGGCGAAAGTAATGCGGCTGGGTCAACGGTGCGTATGCGCAATGCGGCTAAACTGACTGGCCATTAGCCAATTTGGTGGAAATGGGGGATCAAGTGGTCTGCAGTGGGTTAAGGGGGCTTCGGGGGGTTAAGGGGGTGCACTTGGAGGGAGTATGTGACGCATACTTGCCGCATTTATCTCAGGCAAGTGATCGGCAGCATGCAACCGGCGACGACAGAAGACTCTTTGCCACAACTTAATTTAATTTTTCAATTTTTTTGTTTGGCTTTTTTGACTATTTTTGCATCACGTTAAGTGGAACAACTAAATGAGGTGACGATGTTGGGAGAGAGAAGGGGCCAAAGACAATTGGCCAACTATTTGGCGGCTTTAATTGGCTTGCACAATGCCAGTGAAAAAGTCACACGACACCAAAAATGATGCTTCAAAGTGATGCAAACAAATTGTAAATAAACAATAACAAAATGCAAAAAGGAGAAACAAAATTAAATAAAATATAATGAAATTAAACGCTAATATATAAATAAAATATTTTAGAACTTATAAAAAGCCTAAATAAATCTTTAAAAAATTTCATAAAAAATTGTATACAAATAATTCTTTCTTTGGACGGAAAAATCAACCGGCAGCCAAAAAAATTTTAAAAATTCCAAAAACTAACTGTACAAAGAAAATTTAATTTTTTTTAAGAACTAGACAATTTTTAAACATTTTCGGAAGCCTTTCCAAGCTCCACTGTGTCCGAGCCACATTTGAATTCGTAAATCTCGTGGCAGCCACAAGTTGCGACTTGGCTTAATGGTGTCAACACCGAAAACCAATTGGCAAATGTAGATCTCGTGGCGCCCAGCCACGCCCCCCCGCTGCCCCTCCGCCCCTCCGCCCCTGCGACAATTGTGTCCAAGAAGAGTGGAAAAAAGAGGCAGGCTAAAAATTTATGGCTTTCAATTGGCATTGACAGCGATAATTGGCCGCGTGTGCCGAACTAAGCCAAGTCAACACGGAGCCAGAAAAAAAAGAGGGTTACCAGATGCAAAATGCGAAATTTAACGGGGGCTAAGGGGGGCTAAGGGGTCCAGAGTGCCGATATATTGACAGCACGCGGGCAGAAGCAACAAGCGGCAGCTAAATAATGTCCAATATATATTCGACCATTAATCATCTTGGCCATGGCCTACAAAAGTAATGTGTTTAAAACACACAGCGGCCACTTTCCTTGCATCGAAAGAGCCGAAAAGAATCACTGGCGAAATTTATGGCTGCAGATAATTAAATCTCGACATTTAATCTAAATGGGAGAATGGCTATGAAAATTACAATCCAAGATGTGTAAAAATAAATCTTTATGAAAGAATTTAAAGTTTCTCTCTTCTGCCATATAATATTTATTCATTTTACATTCAAATAAAATTGAAGAGTTTATTATCCAACTTATTTCCTCTGCAGATTGCGAAAAAATCTGTGAAATATTCACAGGAAACCGCAACATAAAACGAATTTTCAAGCAGAACCCACAAATGCAGGCCCAATTTCGAGTGCACTCGGAGAAATATCCTAGTTACGATTACTTAAAACATATGCAATCAATCTTAAGTGGGGTTTTCAATAACTCTTCTCATATCTTCAATCATGTAAATTAACCGATGGCACCTTTTCGATTTTTTTCTCTCTTTTTTCAGCAGCTTGTTTTCCGTTTTCGTTGACTTTTTTTTTTCTTTCGTACAACAGTACGTATGAGCATTGTCTGAGTTGTTTGTTATAATTTCAGATAAGTTGAGATTGCCGATTGTCGGTTACATTGTTTTCTTGTTGCGGTTGTTATTATGCAAATTTTGGCTAACAACCGCTTACAAAAAAAGCGACCATAGTTTTTCGGGGGGGTTTGAATTTTAATTAACGTTGCGCATACGCCGCGTGGTACACCCTGCAACTGCCATCCGAGGTGTGTTCGATGCCGTTGGGCAAAAAGTATGCCAAGTAAATACTGTTTTCAAAATGAAATAATGAGCACACTTTTTTTGGGGGGTTTTTTGGTTTGTTACTTGGCTTGACTATTTTTTTTTTTTACTTTTTTGTGTGCTTAGATGCAGGCAAAGTCTAACACTTTCACTAAAAATCCACCAAAGGCTACACGAATTTCGTGTCGTACATGACAAACTCTCAACTCGATTTAGTGGGAGGCGGGGGGTGGTAAAGGGGGCTGAGGGGGTGGAGGAGTGGGTGGGAGGACAGCTAAGCGGCTCAAACTGCCGATGGCTCATCCTCGAGTTTTGCAAAAAAGTATTGTGAAAATGGCTGTACGTTTAAGCAGATTTAAAAACCATCTAATTAAATACATTAGGAGCTACAAATCTTAAATAAAATAATAATTTATTTAGAATATTTTGGATTATAATCTTTATTTATTAGAAATAAGTACAGTTTACACTAATGACTTATTGCACAAAATCGTTCGCCCCAAAGTACTTAACCCCATAAAATACCCAACAAACTTGACACCCCCAATACCACATAATCATATAATTCCGCCGCACACCAGCGATATCCACTGTAAAATATCGGCAACGATAACCAAAGAAATGGAAAAAGGAGAAAAAAAAGAAAAAAGACTCTCTGGCGACATTGATTAACGAGTGCTTAGTTAAAGCGGCACTCAAACACGCGCTGCTAATGCCGCAGATGCCAGCAATAATAGTTGCAGATACACCAGCAACATCGAGCACGGCAGCAACATCACAACATCAACAAACAAAAGTCAACAACAATCGCGGACAATAACGGGGAAATAAGCGACAACAAAAGTGCAATAATAATTCTCTACGTTTTATTCGACTTCATATAATTTTTTTATGAATAATTGAATGGAAACAGAGATCTAGGCATAAGTTTGAAGGAGGGAGCACTACTATTTATTGCTATTTATTTGCCATGCATCTGTGCAAATACTTTGAAATATGTTTATTAATTGCCAAGTGAACACCCTTCAACCCGCCGTTAATTTCAAGTTAGTCTGTTGCTCTGGGGGTACGTACTACGTACATGCGTATAATTATATATATTCGAGGGGTATATGCGACTGGGCATTGACCTGCCCTGAACTGAACCAAAGCCTACGAATATACAGCTGTTTTTAAAATATCGCTAGGTGGGCCTACATTACATTAACATTACACAGAAAAAAAATTGACGAAAGACTGATATGTGCAGATTAATTTAATATCTTTTTAAGATCAAGTTATTCATATCATTTTGATATAAATAAAGATTAGGTTTATCTTATTTTACAATAATTGTCAAAAAATACTACATTTGGTATTTGAAAAAGTATTTTTATAACTTTATGAAATGATAAAATATCAAGTTGATATGTTTCCATAATAAAATAAGGTAGAAATGACCATATTTTATATCGAATTTGTTTTCTCTGTAGAACACTTTCCCTGACTTAATGCTTGTTGCACTTGTGTCCATTAAATTGAATAATGCTCTTATTATGCTTGAACTTCTGCTGAAGTTGTCTTTAAATATTATTCCTACTTTTATGGCTGCTGCTCTTTTGTAATTCTTGGCAGAATATGTTGATATTGTCTATAGGAAATTTATGTAGCGGTGAAGTGTGTTCTTTAAAGTTATATTTGAATTTATTGTGAAACAATTACACAATTTGTTTCCTCTTAAATGGGCTTGTTTTAATCTGCTAATCTCTCTATTTACATTATAAAACTCAACGAACTTTGATCTTGTCACATTACTTAATTAAATCAAATGAATCGGTTATTTATTTTCGGTACCGATTATTCTATAAGCTTTGCCCTTTCTCCTTCCCACTTCCATTTAATCTCATATATAAATAGATTGCGATGCGTTTATTTTTGGCAGTCGCTTTTTTGTTTTGTTCTTGTCAAGAACAACTACAAATCACACTATTAGTGAGTCACGCTGGCCAACAACAAATTAAGCACAGAAATAGCCAAAAAAAAAAAAAACATTTGGAGGAATCTGGGGGGTATATTCCTCTATATGATTCATCTGGCCAACAGCTGGTATTAAATTGTTTCAGACACAGTCGATATCTTAGCAAATAAATACCTTGTGCATTTTTGGAATTTAAGTATCGAGCTCAAATCATTTTAATTAGCGAAGTGTTTTTTGAAATTTTTTAAACTATTTTTGTTTGCTTGCCTATATTTTTTTTAATTTAATAAATTTAATTTTTCTTGTATGTCTAGTTTTTACCCACATTTTAGTAGCACAACTCCTGCGGCATGTTGATGGGGTAAACACAAATTGCTGTGACGTCTAAGCAATTGTTGCTGCTGCGGCGGGTTATCCAAAGCGGACTTAATCAGTTGAAAGGCCATTCTATTTTTTTTTCGGAATAAACCGCACTTAATTCCTGCCCTTTTCTACAATATAACTTCACAATTCGAGTCTAAGGCTCATTTTCTAGCCCAAAATGGGGGAAATTCATTATATTTCGAGGCGAAAGAGAACACAAAGCCCGCGTTTTCGGCACACACGAGTAACAAAAAAAAAAGCATGCGGCATCCACGACAAGATCGATTCTACTGAAACCGCATCCATGAATCCATCGCCATGGCGAACGTGAACGTGAATGTGAATGTGAATGGAACGTGGAGCCCGAAGCGCAGCGCAACCGAAGTGGGCAAAAAAGCCGAAAAAATAAATTCGAAATCAAACAAAACGAGACTGTAAACTGTGTGGACTATGTAGACTCCACTCTGTAGACTCCAAAAGCCAGCGGAGCAAAAAAGCGGGACCGCAAAAGCGGACTCATGGATCGTATCGCTGGGGCCGAATTGAATGGGGTTCGCTCGGTTGTCCGATGATATGATGATACTCCGATGCTCTGATGCTCGCTCTGCATGCAAAGCCGCTGATAAAAATATATAGAAAACTATATAGAAAAAGGGGGGCGTTGCTTTCAGTCCACGGCAGCGATAAGCTAAATGGGAAGGAGTGTAAAAAAAACTGAGAGTACTTTACAGTCACGTGATTCGACTACCAGATACCTGTTACTCGGCTGAAGGGAGTGCTCCAATTTCATGTTTGCTCATAACTTTTAAATAAATTGTGGGATTAAAAAATGGTTCGGCATGCCAATAGCTTTTGACAAATCAAAAAAAATACAATTTCTACTGCTAAAAAATCGTACATATTCTTCGACGAATACAGTATACTCTTTTACTTTGCGAGTACAGGGTATAACAAATGCAAGCCATTCTGGCTCCCTCTTTTGGCCGCTTTGTCAAGCTGAGAGACGCCATCTAGCATTTTCCGCAAACATAAGTTGCCCTTGTGTAATGTAGAGTCAAATGATTTTTAGTTCATTGTAATAAAATGTAAGAAACAAACATTTTAACGCTGTTACTAATTAACAAAATTAAAAAACTTTAATAATCAAATAAAAAAAACAGCTTTGCCAATTATTTTCAAGAATTTGTAGGCATTTAAAACCAATTAATAATGGGATTTAAATTTAGAACACAGGGAATAAAATCCGTTTGTAGAATAGCTCACTCTGTGGGCAGAATGTGTAAGCTGAAAAGCGCCATCTACTGGAAGTTGGTTGCACTTATAAACAGTGCCGCCATCTATAGAGTTTTGGTTTGATTTACTTGATTTTCTCAACAGGAGCGTCCTTGTTTAATCCTTCCAGATTGTATTATAACTTTTTTCAGAAAGGACATAAGCATGGAACTTATGGGTGTTAACAACCCCACTCCAAATCAAATGTTCAATCCTATTCTACAAAATTTTTTTTTACTAATTTTACGCCTCTGCCTATTTAAATATATATATTCTTCATCAACATGAAATATATCTTGAAGATTATAAGCATTTTAATTTTATAAAAACATATCCGGAAATTCCCTTAAAAAATATTTTTAATTTAGTTGGGATAGCTAGGATATATAAACAAGGACTTTTATGAACTTTGGCTTGAATCCTTTTTTGTTTAAAACACTTCGTTTTGTTAAAATTAAATGGAAGGTAGTACAGTTTTCGGTCCAAAGCTTTTTATCTCAAAAACCATCTATAAGAAATCAATACTGGGTAAATAGGAGGAAAAATGATGCCAAATTTAGCACAAATTATAAGATCAGAGCAATTTTCTCAGCTTTCTAGTTGTCATTATTATAGCACATCCATAATATCGTAAGGAAATAAAGTAGCTTTAACTCCACTCACCCGATAAACCCGTATCGTTGATGCTGGACGTTGAGGTGGAGAAACCGGGTAGTTTTCGCCAGCCCTTGCGACTCCAGAAGCTCCTGGCCTTCGATTCCGTGGCGATTTGAGTGGCGCTGTTGGTGCCTTGAATCGTTTGAATGCCATTGCGATGATTGGGTCCCGGATCCTCGGCGGCTCGTATCCTGGCGCAACTGAGTATCCTGCGGCCGCAGGATGCTCTCGTGAGGAAGCTGCTGCTGCTGCTGCCACTTCCGCTGCCATGACCACCAGACGACATCATCCCAGCCTCATCGTATACAGTGGCCGCTCGCTGGAAGGAACGACAGCTCTGAACCGCTGGCGTTTGGCGAGCGCACTTGATGTGCTGCGTTTTGCTCAGCCGCAGGCTTCCAATGTAGCTGGCTCCGCTGCTGCCGCTAAAGCCGCTATCCAGATCGCCGCCGCCGCCGCCGCCGCAGGTGGAGGTCATTAGCTGCTCGACCACGCCCTTGCTCCTCTTTCCCGACTCTCCTCCTCCTCCTCCTCCTCCTCCTCCTCCGGCTCCACCGCTATCACAGATATTGTCCGCCGAGGCGGAGGTCAGACGGGCCAGAATCGTGGGCGGTTGTCCACTGGCCGCCGTTACACTCACACTGGGCTGCGGCGGCAGGATCTCAGATCCAGCTAAAGATCCCGATCCCGATCCCGATCCTCCAGTTCCCCCTGCTGGCTGCTCCATCGACTTGGGCGGACTCTCCGGCATCAGCATGGCCTCCACACTCAAATTGAGCTCGCCCAAGATCTTGTGATGCCTGTTCTGCACGCGACGCAGCTCCTCCTCCACGAGCGTTTGATTCAGCGATCCGGCCGAATGGGAGCCCACTGTACTCCGCAGTTGGTGGTGGCTGTTAGTCGTCGTCTGCAGGGCAGCCGCATTGATCTCCTCGTAGAAGTTCTCGCTCTGACCTTGGCCCACTTTGCTGGTGGTGGCCAGCTTGTGGTAGCGCGTCTGGTAGGACTGCAAGGTGGCCGGGCTCACCAACTGCTTGTTCTTCTTGCCCTTGGAGAGCAGGGCCCGTATGGAATTGGGCGGCGGATCTGCGGAAGAGGATGAGGAGGAGGTTGCGGCCACCGCAGATGAGACTCCCGCTCCACCGCCGCCGCCTCCTCCGCCTGCCGAGGAAACGGCTCCCGGCACATTCGAGTGCCTCATCGCGGCACCGGGTTCGTAGTAGGCATACGAGTAGTCATGATGCAGGTGCACTGAAAAAATCAAATAAGGTAAAAAATTAATTATTTGATCATTTTATAGATGAGTACAAATATATAAAAATGCATCACTATTTTGTAGTTAAAGCAGCCTTAATTAGTTTTTACTTTGGTCTCTCTGGAGCATGAAGAATATTTAGGATTCAAAAACATTTTTATTTATTTAAAGCTGTTTGTGGTTCCTTGAGGCAAAACCAATTTTTAGATCCAGTTAACACTTGAGAAAGAATATTTACAAAAATTTGGAAGCTCTGATTGCCTAAAAATTGCAACGGAAGTTTTATATTAAAAGATGATATTATTATAGCTACACCCAAAAAAAATCATATGATATCTTCTTCTTTTAAAAATATACTAGATGTAGTATACAATTGTGAGATGGATTTAATACTAAATAATATAAAGTTACTAAATATACAAGATGAAGTATACAATTATGTAAAGTTTGTACTCTGTAGGTTTAATTTCATACAAAATATTTTCAAGTCTATACTTTGTACTTTCCAGTCTAAACCGAAAAAAAAGTTTTATATCAATTCTTTCGAAAATATGAATTTAAATATCGTCTTATTAAAATATTCTTTTGGTAACTAAATATTTTAGAATTAATGTCTGAATAGTTTAATTGCTATGATCATTTTTTGTTCGATCTAGGAATAATTTTAAAGTAAGCCTAATATTGGCTAAAAATAAAAGATATAAAATACCTGCGTGGTGATGGTGCTGCTGCTGGTGGCCTAGGTTCCTGCCCAAAGTCTTGCTGTGCCGCGCCGCCAGCTGCTTGAGATGATGTGGCGAGGTCTCCAGGGTGGCGGACTCATTGCAGATCTCTATGGCATCCGGATCGGGATCGGGATATCTGGGCAATTGCTGTCGCCGCCCGGGAGTGTTGCCCGGGGAACCGCCACCACCACCACCACCGGTGGGTGGTGGATAATCCGGCGGCGGTGGGAACTGCAGGCAGTGCTTAGCCACGCCCCCGTGCACCGCCTCCAATTGCTGTTGCTGTTGTTGCTGCTGCTGCTGTTGCAACTTTTGCTGCTGCTGCTTGAGTCGCTGCAGTTGCGTCTGCTGTTGCGTGTAGTAATTCTGATTCGAGTGCTGTTGCTGTTGTTGCTTCAGCTTTGTGTGGACCAAAACCTTGCCGGCCACGCCCCCGCCCCCGACCACGCCCCCCTGGCCCGTCGTGGGGGCGGCCGTTGTCGAGTTGCTGCCATTGTTGCGTCTGCTGCCCAGGCCCAGGCTCTCCATGGCACATGGTGTGGCTGCTGCGCCAAAAGCTTCGATGCTGTCAATAAAAAAGAAAAGAAAAATAGAAAAATTAAAAAAAAATTTTACCGAAACGCGAATTCTTCAGCTTCACTTTCTTGTTTTTTTTTTAGTAAAGTACATATCCTTAAATATCCATAAATATTTGAGAAGGCTATGTATGATCTTTTGAAATCCAGTTAAAAAAAACGCGAATTCTTTAGCTTTACTTTCCTATTTTTATACTACATAACCTCAAAATGCAAGGAATACTTAAAGAAAAAAGTTATGACCTAAGCTAACTTTTCTCAACCGATTTCTTACTGTTATTCCTTGGCATTACAAATGTTTTTATACCCCTACATACGAAGCTTAATTAAAAACCAAAAGGTGACAAATTAATGATCAGTTAAATGGAATTACAAATTGCAGCAGCTGTTCTTGGGTTCCTTGGGTGTCAATAAGAAAGCAAAAAAGAAATAAGTTCCTGGAACTTTGACCGTTGGTCTGGCTGGGTAAATGTGGTATTTGGCATTCGCGATTCGAGCCATTCCACATGTCGCCGTGATTAATTGCCGCTAATTCAGCAAAGTCTCTACGTTTCGATGGCCAAAGGGCTGCAGGCTGCAGACTCTTCTCTTTTTTTTGTGGCCTCTGTGGCTTCAAAGGCCTAGGCCGAGCGGTAATTGAAAAACCAGGCTAAACGAGAAATGAGCCTGGCCACAAATGAGTCAGGTGGAGTCGAGACCCCGAGATGATGGATCCGCAGCTGTCGCAGGTGAGTATGCCACAAATAAATGGGCTAAGAGCTTAAATCAAAGTCCCGAATCAAATTAATCATATAGTCAATATTTCGGAATACAAACACACAAAAAAAATGGAGAAAAGATCAGATTG